TCTCGTCTGCAGTCACTCATTGCTCACCGTGCAGTCCAGAAGGAAATGGAATGGGCACAAGCCTCCAAGTCAAAGGATAAGAAGCAGCTTGCAAGGAGCCAAAGTCTGGAGGATGACAGTAGGAGACTGAAAGGCAAAGTGAAGAAGTATAGAAGTAGAAGCAAGAGTCATGAAGATGAAGTAGATTCTCACAGCCGGATGTCCTCCTCTGTCAAGGACTGTTATTTGAGCATGATCAGTGAAGATCAAGATGAGTTTCCAAGTTTGCAGATGGGGAGCCTTGAGAATGAAGAGAAAATATCAGAGCTCAGGAATGAAGAGGCTGATTTACCAGGTCTGGGTGACAGTGGATTAAGCAGTGAAATAAATTCTATTAATGCTACCATTCAAGAGCTTGTGCGAGAAAATCAGCAGCTTCATGAATTCCTGCAGGGAATGACTGTTGAGTCTATTGCTAAAGTAGACCAGGAGAAAATAGAGCTGGAAGCCAAGATCCAGTCACTTAATCAAGAAAATGAGTCTTTAAAGATTATGATGAATGGGAACATTGAAGAAGAGGAGACAAATGCTGGTGTAAAAAAGAAGCATGAGGGTAAGGCTGTTTCATTCCTTGTTTCAGATGACAACATAGAGAAACTATTGAAAGATCATGAGATGGAAAGTTCTCATTGCCAAGAATTAGGTAAAAAATCTCCAGTGTTAGAATCAGAAAGTGTTGAAAAGGACCTCTCAAATTTTGCTGAATTTTCACAGAAGGAACAAGAAGCATCTGTGTATTCACAGGAACATTCCAAAAGAATAGCAGTACTCGAAGCACAGGTCAGTGAGCTTACTAGGCAAAACCAGAGTCTCATGCACAGGATTAGAGAAGAAAAGGATGGTGATACCAGTGATAAAGAAACAAAAAGTGATTATGAAGAAATATCGTCCAGGATTTTAGAGTTGAAAACCCAAGGTGCTGCAAACATAAGTGTTACCAGGGAGATAGAGAAACTTCAGAGGAAAATCAACAAACTTTTGAGAGAAAAAGATGACCTAAATCATAAACTCAACACAGAAGCAACTGAGAGGGACTATGAGCATTCAAGACTGGAAGCAAGAATTCGGATTTTGTCTGAGCAAAACAGAGTATTAAGTGATAAAATGAATGAACAGAAGTCAGCCTCCCTTGCAACAGACCATGGCAATTACCATTCTGACCAGATCAAAAGTCAAAATGACTCTAGTGTTTCCATCAGTTTGAATCAAGATCGATTTGAAAAAAGTACAGATGAAAGCAAATCTGCTATGAATATGGGCACAACTAGTTCAAGAGAAGTAAGTTTTAAAATTGATGTTGATTATGATAACCTTACAAAGGATGAGCACAAGCCAGAGTCAAAGGTAAACTCAGAATCATCTTCTTTCAGACAATTTTCTGAACACTCCAGATCAAGAAGTACTGAATACAGTTCTTCCAGAGGGGATGTGAAGCACACACATTCAAGTGGAAGTGCTGATTACAGTAGTACCAAAGAGGATTCAGAGTACACCGTATCAAAAACAGAGCCTGAATATAGTCATGCAGAAGGAGCTGAAGATGCCAGATCACAAAGGAGTGCAGATCATAGCAAACGAGATCCAGAGCACTCCTCATTTACAAGAGATTCTAAGTGTACCAGGTCGGATGAAGCTGATCATAGCTCATCTTTCAGGCAGTCGGAGTATACTGAATATAGTGCAGCTAGTAGAAGTCATAAAAGTGACAGGGGTACCAAGAAAAGCACAGCATTTGATGAAAATGATGAGTATAGTCAGGTTGATGATGATTCTAGTACAAATATTGAACATAGTCTTCATACTGAAAATGTTGATCAGTCATCATCTCAAAGGCTTCCATATAAACCAAGTACATCAGAAAGAAATCAGAAAACCCATAGAAATGAATCATTTGATAGGAAAAAAGACAGAAGCTCTCCTGAAACTTCATATGGTAGTAAAGAAAAAGGTAAAACTGATGAAATAAAACCATACACTATTGTGCAGCCAGTGAATGATCCCAAACTGACTTCACAACTTGAAGAGTTATTAAAACAAAATGAAATGCTGATTTCCACAGTTAATGCTATGAAAGCCACATCTGTTATGTCTGAATCTAGTCTTGGGTCAGCAATAAGACAAATTATGGAAGAGCATGAAAAACTCATACAGAATGTAGAGGAGAAAATAAATCATGCTAGAATTTCTGGAGAGCTGGATGCTGAATCTAGGATGAATAAATTATTGCAGGAAAAACAAGTGTTAGCAATGTCACTGGAAGAACAAAAACACAAGAATGAATCCCTTGTAAAGCAGAATGACCTGCTTGAAAAGAAACTTCAAATTGTTAGAAAGAACACAGAGTTGAATGGAGACCAGGAGACCAATGAAAAAGATAAGGAAGTTTTGTGTTATGTCAAAACACCACCTACTCTTCACATAGCATCAGAGGAGATGAACGCACCCTATGACATTGAGGTGGATTGTGAAATAATAGAGAGTTTCAAAGTATCTGAAGAGATTGTGAATGGAAGTGATGACCTTAAAAAGAAAGAAATGGACAAGTTTCAACAGACTAAAATGGGAGAGGCCATATTAAAGGCTAGCTACCACTCAGTGCAAAGGAAAGATGCATCTAAAAGTACTGATATGCAAAAGCAAGTGACAAAAACAACAGATTCACAAAGTAAGGGAAGCAGTAGACGAAACAGCTTAAGTCTGCAGTCACTTAGTAGAAGAGGATCCCAGGCCTCTACATCAAGGATCCCGAGAAGTGAAGGACAAGAATGTGAGGAGGATCTGCAGGATGAGCTAACTGAGGGATTGATTCATTTGACCTCAAGAAAAGAAGATGAAAAGTGGGCTCAAGTGCTAGAGCAATCAGGTATATTTTTGTTATTGTTTTTTATTTTTACCTGTCATTAGGTGAATCTTAAGGCTATAACTAATATTTGACATTTTATTATCATCAAAACTATCATTATTATTTTATTCTAATAAAGGTTAGGTTGTGTTATATACCTTTAATAGTTTTATTGTATTAAAAAATGATTGCCTATGTTTCTTTGGATTAACTCAGGATATTTGTTTTATGTGTATCCATAACTCATTACAGAAGAGGAAAAACAAATTCTTCAAGAGAGAATTAAGACTCTAGTAAATGAGAATGACTGCTTAGCATCACGGTTGGAAGAGGTGATGGGTGTGTCACGTAATTTGAGTGACCAGATGCAATCTGCGCGTGAGGAGCTTGTTAAAGTTTCAGCAGAGAAGGAGGATTTGCAGAAGAAAGTCAGGTAAGTTTGTAGTGAGTTTATAGTATTATTTATGTTAGATTTTGAGTGTGGAACAATTGAAGGGGGTTTTTGTTATCAGTAGGCTAAATATGATATGACCAAAGGTTATGGTCTTAGATTACCAAATGTTTGGATTGGTACTTGAAAAATTTCTTATGAATTTTAGATATATATGTGTAAAGTGATTAGATAGTTAAAGGAATACACAATATTTAAAATTATTACATACCTTGGATATTCATATTAGCTATATTTTTTTGCAAACTCTAAAATATCTAGCAAGTAAGATCCCTGGTAATTAAAATTGCCAGGTAGTCTTATAGGTACCAAAATATGAAAGAAAAAAAGAAGGTTTATTTCTTGTCCATGCAAACTAATCATCAAGGCTGCCTTGTCCTACAGATCACTTGAGGAAGGGAAGGAGGATAGTTCACTGAGCTTATCAGAGTCTCTCGGGAGCTCGAGACTCACACAGCGCCTTAAGGATCGGATCAGAAGCTTACAGGTATGTAGGATATATAGTTTTCATGATAAGAAATAAATCTGATTTTCTTTTTGGCTTGTAATAAAAAAGATATAAGAAAACTAGCACTATGAACTGTGCTGCAGCACAAACAACCACTTATCTAACACTTAAAAAAATACTTACATTTAATACTGCTGTGTTATGTATGTCTGCTGACCTGTTGTTGATGGAGTAAGATTGTAGCAAAGTTGGTATGTATTAGTACATTTTGCGTTGTGCCTGTGCTGTTGTCTGGATCATGGCTGGAAATCTGACATTTGGGAATTTTTGTCAAGATGTAATAGGACATCACTTGGTGTCAGAGGGTTAAAAAGATTTCACCTCAGAAAACAGTACGTCCAGAGTGCTAAAACAACAATAATGACACATTACTCAAACAGTAAAGGATTTGCAATATATGCAAAAACACAGTTATGTTAAGGATGAATAATTCTTTGAACCTTTTAACCTTTCAGCTTAGTTTTTAGTCTATACTCTATGTATTTCATCAAGGTAAAGTTGCTCTTGAGAAGTTTTTGATGATTATTTGAATGCACAATGTCCAAATAACATTATTATAAAAAATTAACATCACTAAGCTGACATTTGTCAAGTAATTATCATCACAACATCAGTTATAAGATAATGACATAGTCACATAGGGTATGTTAGCCTATAATAATTTTCAATATGTTATGCACTTGAAAACAAAGTGTGTGCGTAAATCCTATAACAAAAATAAGAATCAGAAATTAAGTAAATGGTTGGTGTAAGGTCTATAGAATGCCACTTCATTAAGAATGGAAAGGGTATTTCATTACCTTTGTTATGGTTTGGAGTGCTCTCCACAATAATTATAAAAAAGTATTTCAAATTAACCTGATGCTGCTGGCATTTAGGAACATGTCATACCTACAGTTGAGTCACAAATGAATCAATTATTAGTCTAGCCTGTCATCTGTTTTCCTTTTTGCTTAATTTTAGAAAGATCTTATTTTATATTGCTATTATTAATAATTTTAATCATTATAATGTCAATAATAATAATAACAGCATCAGTATTAATAAAATAAAATAAAACACATTTTGCCAAAAACTCTCGGAAGGGCCAAATCAGGTGAAGGTATATAGACAAGGGTAGAGGAATGAGGTATGTAGGTCTAATGATTTCTTAGAATAATTACATAATTTAACAACAGATATTGCTCAACAGGGAGAAGTTGAAGGGGCATGGCAAGAAGTTCATCAGCGCACAATAGAACGAGACAAGATGTCTGCAGAGAGAGAGAGCATTGAATACACAGCAAGCATTAATCTTAACAGTGCAAGGAAGGAGGTGAGCTGGAAACCTATATTAACTTTTTATAAACTGAAATTGCATAATAAGGTGCCAAAATTGTATGTGATATTTACTTTGCATTTTAGGTTGAGTCATTAAGGAGCCAAATTGCCATGCACCAGCAAGATTTTGAAAGGAGGGCTGTTGAGTTAACAAACACAAAGAATGAACTGGAGAAAAAGTCATCAGAACAGAGAATTCTTTTGGATGATTTTGAAGTCCAGAAAAAGAAGTTACATGATCTAGAGAAGAAACTGGAAGATATTGAGAGTTCCTATAGAGAGTGCCAGGATAAATTACAAATTGAAATAAGGGAGAGAAAGGTATAGTATATTGAGTACATAGATGGAAACACAAGAAGCATAAAGCCTTTCTTTGCTCACTTACCTTGCTGCCCCATTATATAACAATATGATATACTATAGTGTACTATGTTTTTCCATATAAACCAAAGAACACTGCATCAGATCTCTCTCCATACAATCTGCCTCAACATAGCTAACAAAATCTTGTTCCAGAGAGCCGAAGAACAGCTAGAGGACACCCTTCAACGTTTGTCTGCAGGGTTGGAGAGTGAGAGAACGAGATCAAAGGGAGAGAGATACTGGCAGGAAGCTATGTCTAGGCTAAAGGTTAGTGATTACATGATTAAAAGTATGAGAAATATATATAAATTTTTCCTCATTTGACCTAATAGAGGAGACCATAAAAGGAAAGCATTCTAGTAAGTAAGACAAATACTTAACAGTATTAAACATAAGGAAATATATTGAAAAGATTGATATAGCTTTGGACTGAAATCACTTTATGAATGAGGAACAGAATACATTTCCTGTATGTAATTGATTGAAAATATGAAATATACTATTAACCCATCAGCGACGGGTAAAAATTTTGTCAAGTTTACGTATGCGCCGGCTTGTTGGCGCGCACTGGCAGTTTCCCCTGTTTGCGCCCGGCTCGATCGGTAGTTTGCGAGCGACATATAGCACCTAAAAGCTTTTATTTTTCTAAAATTTATGAAAATATTAAAATTTTGAAGGTTTACCTTCACTTTAGGTGCCATTGCCTAAAATCTTTACCATATAAATGAAGCCGCTACTAGTGGAGGAAAACAACCTCCGTCCGACGAGCCAGTAGCGCGGGAAAGGGCATGGCATGATGCCCCCGGCGTTTGGTCCACAACAGCCATGGCATGTACGTACGTGACACCCGGCGCCAGTGGGTGGGTATAAGAGATTATTTTTTTTTTTTTAACATTTTCAAAATTTCTTGTATAAACAGGTAAATTTTACTACACTTTGGAAATCTTGAAGTGAAGATGTGGCACAGATAATGAGAGACTCATATTTTTTTCCACATAAGTGGAAAGGCACATGGATGGGCAAGAATAGAAATGACATCACAGGCAGACAAACTACTCGGTATACAAGTGGTTTCCTTGTCGTTTTCTCGCCTTTGATGTCATCTTTTCTGTTGCCTGCTGATCAAGCCCATGTGTGTGGACAGGCCTTTAGTTTGGTGTTCTTTGGGTCCAATCATGGCTCCAGAATATCAAAAGATATACAACCATACCCTGGTGTCTGTTGACTGTATGAAGCCTGATGATTAAGGGTTATTGAATAAAAGAAAGTTACTTTAAAGGAGCCTTCCTTAACATTTTCCAGAGCCAGTTGCATCAGGAACAGCTTCGTTCACGTCTTCTCGAAGCAGCTGATCATGAGAACTCAGCACGCATCCTGGTTTTGCAGCGTAGTGTTCGTGAGACCATTGAAGCTCATGAAATTCTGCAGGTTAGATTTGTTTTGATTTGTTTTTTGCTTCTTGTTTGGCAAGCATGAATTTTGCAAGTTTATTGATTAGCTGACAAATCAGGTGGGTACTTTTTTTATTCACTTGCTTTGCTTTAAAAGATTACATAGTTTTTTTATTTTACTCTGCACTTTTATAAGTCAACTATGGGTTTAAGATGTATTTTTACAAGTCAAGTATGGGTAAATATATATTTTTTAAGATTCAGTAATCAGTATAGTGACTGACATTTGAATGGAAAGGCAATTGTAATGCTATATTTAGCTATACTTTTGACTGTTCTTTGCTTGTTTTAGAAGAAACATTCCAAAAGTATGTACAAGAATTTTAGGAACTTTATTCTGCTTCTGCTATTTTAGGCAATTGATATAGATATATTCATTTGCTTCCAGGTAAAGGTTCATATAGGTAATATCAGAGAAGAAAAGTAAAGTTATGCTGCAATGGATTATATGCTGTTTATTCCTTGGTCAGAACCTGATTACATATGCTCATCTGTCTCCTGCAATTAACTTTTCTCTTTTTGATTATGTTTAAAACTGTATCTTCTTTTAAACTTTTCTTAAAAGATTTTCTAATTAGTTCTTACTAACTGACTGAAAAAACAAAACAGTTATTCAATGTACCAGAAAGAAATTTAGAATTCCACCTGAAATGTTTTCTTTTTAAGCCTACCCTTTGGATATAAGCTTTTGTAATATAATATTCCAGTGAGTGAAATATATAATCCATATTCAAGCATCATCATTCTTAAAATGAAAGGCAAAAGTATGTCTGTCCAGGTCTTTTGCATACAATAAAAATTGTTGCAATTAAACCAGTCCCTCTGGGTTGGCTAAATGCCATAAGGCCTTAACTCAATGCTGACGGGAAATTGGTGCATTACCTTTGACAATGCTTAGTTAAATGTTTCTGCACGTAGATGGCTCTGCCAGTGTTTATCCACAAAGGAGTTAATTAATAGACCTTGTGACCTCACTTTTCCTTGAAATAGCGGAAAATGTTTTTTTTTTTTTTACTAATGCTGTAAATATTATCACTGTTTTTGTTGTTGTTGTAAACATTATAATTACTGTGTTGTTACTGACATTATTAACAACAGTATTAAATACTAAAAAATATTATCTAAAATCAAGGAAAAGGGTAGACAGGTAAGACAGGTAGATCTTGTAATTGGCTCATTGGTGACTTAGTACTTGTGGAGCCATCTATATGTAAAAACAATTACTAAATTAAACACACAATGGGCATGTTTTCATACCATATCAGTAATGAATTGCAGCTCTGTGCCTTTATGCTGATGTGTGAGATAATTATTTCTAAATTTCTGCAAAAATATCCAGTCACTATGGTATAAATTCTGCATGGTAGAATGGTTATAAACTGTGGCTTGTTAATTTACTGATTTTGTTGAATAATACTATTGAGCATGTGTTATTGGCTGCTATGATTTATAAAAAAGCATGCCCTATGGGCAGTTAATCAACTTAGTTAGTTTTATTGTTATGTATCTTTTTATTTACTTTGTGCAGGCCTGTAATTTCCATTAAAGAGGCACTAGAAGATATAGTTGAATTAGTGATTTCATAATAGTTAGTAGTTCTGTAGTTTGCATTTTTACAAAACAATAGTGATTGTATTAGCCTTGGGTGAGTATGCCTCTCAGATTATTTTTATGATATAGAAAAGATGCTTTTGATATGCTTCTCAGCATTAGTCTGTGAGATACAATATTTTTAAAAGAGAGTGAGTGTAATAAATGGAGACTAAACTCCATATTTTCTGACATAATTTTCTGACATATTTTTCTACCCTTTCTCCCTTTTTTCATGATATCAGGTAACCAAATTCTGTAACTTTACGAATCTCATTAATTTAACATAATATTACTAAACTTGCTGTTTGGTATTCACCTTAATATTGCAGTTTTGAATGGGACATTGGGAGAACAATATCCGAGGGAGGTTTGTTTATACTATTGTGTATGTCCCCAGAGATTTGTAACTTCCATTTATTGACAGCAGAATTAAAAGTTTCTTTCTGAATTCAAATCAAAATATAATTTGGAAATGCATTGTGCAAGAGCAATGATGGATAGTCACGCTATATTTTTGTTCAGAAAAGAAGAGAGAGAGAAAAAAAAAAAGTTGTGGGAATGGGCTGAAAGGCTGAATAGAGAGAGAGAGAGAAAACACTAAAATTACAACACATCTGTCCTTGTTGTAACACTGTTTTCTTTTATTTTTTTTGACACATAACTGGGTATGGGCATTGCAGGTGTTACGTAGGTGATTGCTTAAAAGTATGAGAATTGTATTGCAGAGTAAATAAGATTATTTAGCCTTTTGTGTTCTCCAATAAGTGATGAGAAGCTAAGTGTACTTCAGAGGAATTATTTTTTGGCTGCATTACTGTCTGGTAATATGTTCATCAGTTGACATTGCTTTGTTGATACCTTCTGCTGTACAGAGCTTTTATTTTAGCCGTACATAATGTTTGCTCATTACTGGAAGATTACAGTATTTGCTGGATTAGAATTTGGTGAAAATTCCTACATCAGTTTAAGAGAATTAAATCTTGCGGAAGCTTAATTACACATCCTCAAACAGGATTTTGTCTATAATACAATAAGAGAGTTTTATTTTCTTTGATTTCTTTTATGGTTACTGGTATCAGTCTGAAAAGAGAGATGGTATAATTTTGTTCTTCAGTTAATCTTTTTATTCTTTGAGTAATCTTTTTATATGTATTTATTTTTTACTGTTTTTATTTATTTTTCTTATAGCAAGGGCTAGCCATATGATTTTTTTAAAAATAATTTATTTACCTTTAGCTTTGATATGGATTCTATGACAGTCCATGCTACATACTATTGTATTTTTACCATGCAAATGTAAATAAAGCTAAAGGTAAGAGTTAAAAATGAGACCTCACTCCCAAGTGTACAGCCAGCAATAGCATACTCACTCTAGACTCTCAACTTAGGCCAAATACAAGCAGCTTCGTACTGCTTATCGTGCCAAAAAGACGGACAAGACTCACCGCAGAGAACTTTCAGAGCAGTATTCACAGCAGGTTAAGGAGCTTGGTAAGACTTCAGCTGCTTTAGAGGACAATTATAAGGTAAGACTGGGGTTACAACTTGTGGTACTCTTCCTCTATTTATTTGATATTTTTTTCTTTGTTGTTATTCTCCTAAATCATTCTTCTTTCTCAGTATACTAATCTCCTCTTAATCTTCCTCATTTCCTCTTTTTTCACTTTTCCTCCTCCTCCACCTCTCCCATTCCTTCTTTTCCTCCTCACTTTCCACCTCCTCCTTCCTTCTCCTCCCAATCCTCCTTCTCCTCCTCCTTTGCCTTTGCCTTTGCCTTTGCTTGCTCCTTCTCCTTCTCCTTTTACTCCTCCTTCTCCTTCTCCTTTTTCTCCTTCTCCTTTTTCTCCTTCTCCTTTTTCTCCTTCTCCTTTTCTCCTTTTCCTCTCCTTCCTTTTTCTCCTTCTCCTTTTTCTCCTTCTCCTTTTTCTCCTTCTCCTTTTCTCCTTCTCCTTCTCCTTCTTCTTTCTTCTCTTCTTCTTCTTCTTCTTCTTCTTCTTCTTCTTCTTCTTCTTCTTCTTCTTCTTCTTCTTCTTCTTCTTCTTCCTCCTCCTCCTCTTCTCTTCTTCCTCCTCCTCCTCCTCCTCCTTCACCTTCTTCTTCTCCTTCCCTTCTCCTCTTTCTCTCCTCCTCCTTTTCCTTCTCTTCTCTTCTCCTTCTCCTTCTCCTTCTCCTTCTCCTTCTCCTTCTCCTTTCTTCTTCTCTTCTTCTTCTTCTTCTTCTTCTTCTTCTTCTTCTTCTTCTTCTTCTTCTTCTTCTTCTTCTTCTTCTTCTTCTTCTTCTTCTTCTTCCTCCTCCTCCTCCTTCTCTCCTCCTCCTCCTCTCCTCCTCCTCCCCTCCTCCTCCTCCTCCTCCTCCTCCTCCTCCTCCTCCCTCCTCCTCTCCTCCTCCTCCTCCTCCTCTCCTCCTCCTCCTTCTCCTTCTTCTTGTCTTCTTCCTCTCCTCCTGCTCCTCCTCCTTCATCTTTTTCTTCTTTTTCTTTTTCTCATCCTCCTTCTCCATTTCCTATTTCTCTTTCTCCTCTTGCTCATTTTCTTCCCTCCTCTTCTTTTGATCCACATCCTCCCTACCATTCTCCTGTTTCTTTTCCTCCCTCCCCTTCTCCATCTGCTCTCCCCACCCTCCCCTTCTCTTCCTCATTTTCACTCCATGTCTCCCTCTTCCTACTCTGTTTTCATGAATGTTGAATTCATTATAAAAATATTATTGTTTTTCAGCTGATCAGAATACTTATTTTTTTAAGCTCCTTCATTTCTGGTAACATAGTGTGAATTCAGTAGATGTTTAGTTATCCCTTGCCCATTATTGTGGATAATCCTGTCTGGTTAAAAGTGTAGGTTAATAATGTGGATCCAAGCATCTGCTTAGTTTTTGAGATATTCATACATGACATGAAGCAGTCTTTTGAATTATACAGAAAGGGCTTCTAATGTATGCTATGCTGCACGGGGCATCATTCCAGTAATGTTTCCCAAGTTGGTCCCCAATAAAGGAATTAAGGCTGCTCTGATCATTCTCCTGACCAATATAGGTCCTCTAGTCTCCTAGAGGATTCTAGACCAGGTCACCCAGGCTAAATTTGATAACTGAAATACAGTATACTATATTTGAGACTTTAAGACATAGTTATAGTAAAGTAATAACAGGTGACACCATAGTGGAAGACTTATACATCAGGGTGTTTTGTAATAACGACTGTTTTACAATGTATATATATTTTTTAGATGCTATAATGAATTGATATACTTTCTGTAAATAAATAGTGTTTTTGCCATATATATATTTTTTATTATTCTTTACATTGGTATTTGCATGTTGGTTATTTCTCTGTTCTCAAAGTCTTGGGAGAAAATATAATTCCAAAATAGGTAAGGATTAGCTCAGAATTTTACCAATTATTTCTCCATGCATTTTTAAGGTGGATACAGTAACCATTTCTGTGCAGAGTTGCTATATTAACAATCTTTTCTTACCACAGTGACCCCGTTTACCCTCTTATATAATGTAGAAAGACAAAAATATTATGACACCCTTGTCACTATTTACATTACTATAATTGAATCAAAAATTCAGAAATATTACTGGTGATATAATTTGAGCAAAGAAGTTTGTAAAACCTGAGAAGGACATTGTAGGTATAGATTATGACATTTGAGATTCATATCTATAAAGTCTAAACCACATTTATGTTTGGTATTTCCAAATACCGAAGTACATTGTGCTCATGATGTTTGACACAAGAATTACCACAAGCATGTAAGAATTTATGTAATTGTGATTGTTAGATGGCTGTTTGGCCATTAAAGTAGTAACCAATGGGACAGTGTTCCGAATAGATGTAGTTGGCTACTGTTTACAGCTCTTAGGACAAATTTCTGCTAGTGTGCGACACACATAAATGTTGTAGAAGTGATGAAAAATTCTTCCCATCCTTTAGTTCCCTATGAAAAAAAATTAACCACAGACTTGACTCTAGTAACCAAGGGAGCAGTTATGAATATATCAGGTTCTCCATGCATTTCAAGATCTTTGTAATTAATTAAGGAATAGGGTTGCAATTAAGGAATAGGGTTTGGCAATAATAAGAAATGGGTCCAAGTAATCCTCTTTTCCTTTTCTGCCTCTCTTTTGAAGATGATGCTGTCGACACTTGGTGAAAGCATAGGTGTCACAGTGGAGATCCTGACATCCCATGTCTTCCTCTCTCCTTGTGTTGTCCATCCGAGCCCTGACTTGAGACTGGATCTGGAGACTTGGTTTGAAGCTCAGCAAGGGAGGCTCAGGTATATTGATTGTGTTAAGATTCGTAGCATTGTCTGTTGAGAGGTATATGGTTGCATGGTGTGTATTAGTGGAAATGTGTGTATGTGGTGTTGCATATGTATTTAGTTTATGCATCCATGTGAGATTTAGTGTGGATGTGGTGTGCATATGCATATTTATGTGGTGCCAATTCATGCATAGGTATTGGTATCTTTAAATGTGAATATTTGCTATCCACATGGTGTTTGTGTGAATGTGTGTGTTAATGTGGATATGTTTGTAAATGTTTGTGTGCATGTTTGTCTTTCTGTTTAGGTGTTTGTAAGTACTTATGCCTTTTATTTACATAGACTCATTAATGGATAAAGTGAAAGAGAAAAAGAATATTTAAACTGTTATGTCTAGGAAACCTTAAGTATCGTCTAATAGTAACAGTATGGAAAGGTCAAGGTTATTCATATTAGGACTAAATGATCATATGAAAGATGATTTTCCATGCAAAGTATTCAAGCCTTATTAGAAAATTGTCAAACAATTACTTGTGTTGAATACTTTTAAAATCTATGTTGTTATAAGTTGCTATTGTTTCACTAATATAAGGCATCTACTCTTTTCAGATGGTTACAGACACAACTTCGGAAACTGTGCTTACATAATTGGAAAATGGCAGATCTCCCAAAGACTTCCAACTTCACCATTGGACAGAGAACAAAGTCCATTCCAGGTTCCAGCACATCAGAAACATCTGGTGATTCAAATATCCAGGGAAAAAGTGATGGTAGCTCAGAAAGCAAGTCTGATTCAAGTTCCGGATACAAGACAAGGAAATCTTTAAAAAAGAACTTGTATGATCTCTCCATTTTGGATGAAACCAAGTCTGACAGTAGTTCACCTGTTCAGAAGAAAATTGGTGCTTCACCTGCAGTTTCTGCCTCAGGTGCTTCATCAGGTTTTACTTCTGTTTCTGATACAGACAGGAGAATGGCCAGGCAGGGTTCCCAAGAGGAAAATGCACAAGACTCTGGCAACACATTTGTATCATTTTCATTTGTACAATCCAAACCTTCATTCAGTCCACCCATGAAGCCATTAGCTAGTAGTTCTATGAGTCTCAGTGAGGTGGGCCGAATCCTCACTGACCAACAGAGGCAGCTCACCAGGGCAAAGTTTCACCAGTACAAAACCTTAGTCTCCAACCTCCAAAGAGACTTGGAATTCCCTTTTACATCTTCTCCAAGCGTTCCTTCCTCTATGATCACCACACCTGAGAAAATCAAGGAGCTTTCTTGCTCCACCTTTGGTGACGAAGAGCATTCAGGAGACATGGAAATGGAAACGACTCTTTCCGACTCGCAGGTATCATCATCAAGAACCCTCTGTTCCCTGTCCCAAAATGAAGAGTCTGGATCTTCTAAGCACTCCAAGGAATCATTACCTGTGCTGGAGGAGATTTCACAGACATCTGGCAGTTTATCAGGAATGTCAAAGAGTCCACACTCCTGGAACAACACCTGCCTGGAAAGGAATCCCTCTACTTCGCCATCCTTACGTCCAGAGTTCCTTCAGGAAGACATGGAGAGCTTTGGCATGGAAAGAGATATTAATCAGTCAAGTGCCAGAGCCACTACCTGTGACAGCAATAGTCTACTTGACACAAGGGATGCAGCAAAAGAAAATCAAGCCTCAGGAGTGGATGTGGATAAAGATCATGACAGTATGGAGGAATTGGATGAAGAGGAGGACATCATCAGGATCTTTGTGGAAAGTGAGGTTGTTGATGATGATGATTTAGACTGATCTTTACATCATCTTCAAATGCTTCATCAACATTATGTTTGACTGAAGTCTAATGCTTAAATAACATGGAATCTATCTGTTGTGAACAGATGCTGAGAAGTATTTAAATTTATTGATTGATTATCACTTTCAGGAAATATTTCTATGGTATTTAATTTTATGGTATATTTATTGATGTTCAGAGTATATTTATTAATTTAAAGATAACAGAATTGATATGTTCTGTAATTCCTTGAGTATTATATGCATTTGCTTCTTGAAGCCATTGTTTTTTTTTTATAAAGAGAATTATTGAGACCACAGTTTAGATAATTGCGTGTTCCTTATGCACAGCATTTATATTTATTTAATGACTCTGATAAGTATTTTGTACTGCCAGTGTAATTAGTAGTACATATAGGAAGAACCTATGTTTCTTGACAATCACATTACATTCATTACCATTTGTAAAAAATACAAGAAGTACCTTATTATCTGTAGATTTTTATGTGTATGCATTTTTGTAATGGTGGAAGTTTCTTTGAAGTGTAGGTCATATTTAATTTCACTTGAATTTTTATCAGTAATCATAAATAATCTGAGAAGGACCTGAAAGCAAGAAAATCCGTCCATTTTTGCGATCCTGTCCATGCAAGTTGTGACTACAGAAACTAATTTGAAAAGCCTCACATATAAATTTTAGTTTTGTATGGATAACATATAATGAAAAGCTCATTCATTCCATTGCAGCTATGCAGGTGTATATGTAATAGTCTTGTTAGATTTAGCTCACTTGTAAGAAAATTTCCCATTTTGAGAACATGAGTATTTGATCAACAGTTACTTTTCCACAAATAATAATCATAATGAATTGATTAAAATGGTAATGTTGATTTTCAGTCAGTAATAAAGGGCATTTAATCTTTCATTAGAAAGATAGTTTTAAAATGTAAGGCTTCCATCAATTTGTGGCATCACAGGTAATGAATAACTCCGTCCAAAAAATATTTACCAGGGTACTGTGTACAACATTTTTGTAGTATTGATGTCTTAACCCGTAAAGGACATGCCATCTCATGCTGTGACACATATTTGACACATTTCCATCAATAAACACTAACACAGATGAAAAACACAGATCAAAATCTACTTTATGAGATGTGAAACATGGCATTCATTTTCAAGCATTCAGTGGACAGTAGTTACAATCTGCTTTGTGTCCTAACCTGAGTGTCTAAATCTAGTACGCATGTTCTTTAGGTGTTAAACAGTGTGTTCTGGAGCTTCCCATGCAAGAAGTTTTAGTGTGTGATTTTATAACCTCATTATGTAGAGTTAGTGTTTATTTTTTTATTATTAGCTATTATTTTTTGCGAGAATTATCAAAGCTTGTGCTGTAGGTAGATGAGTTCTGATACTCCCAGTGATTAGATTGTGTGGTATATCACTTTACTTGAATTGTAAAAGGAAGAGATTAAGGATTGGTTGGGAATTAACCAATTGGTAAATGAAATTAATGAAGTTAAATTTTGGATAGAGATAAGCTCAATGTTCATTTATTTTGATGTATTGTGCATCAACAATATCACAAACACAAAAGTTTTCAATATTTGTACAGTAGCTTACTTGTCCCCCAAAATCAGTCTAGTCTAGACAACAGTGATACCATCTGCATACTTCTCACTTTTGGGAGTGTTGAAATGTATGCCAGTGTTACCTTTCCAGTTATACATGTAATTTACTGTTTATAGCATTTGAAAAAAGGGCATTATGTGTTTTCTGAGTAATTATAAAGTGCCATTTTTAGGAATTAATGTCCTATAATTGCAGCATGGCACAGTAAATCTATGGAGATCAGTCACACAGGGTACTGAGAATATAAGTTTCCATAATTAGCTAATTTATTTGTAAGCAGTTTAAGAAATTAAAGAAATAGGAAAGTAGTGAAAATATAGAGTAGTCAACAAGTCAAAATTGTTAGTATTAGGAGACACCCCATTCTTTCCTCAAGAATTATGCCATATATTTTTGAATGTATGATTTTCACATTGTTTAGTATTCATTTGCTAATTCATATAAGCATTTAAAGTTTGCAGTTAATTTCAAAAGAACTAAATTATTTTGGTTTCAAGTATGAGATACCTTTTTGGCCTTCCATGAACCCAGGATTTCTGAAGTCCCAATGTGCTGTTTTATCTACTGCCAATGTGTATCAGTTTCTAGTCCATGAAATAAATATGCTTTAAAATCTGCAATTTTTACTTCCTTCATAATAAGTATAAGAAAAAGTATTATTCATTATCATCATCGTGGAGCTAATGCTGACAGGGGCGCATAACTGCATCCACATCAAGTTCCTCACGATAGGTTAGATTGATCTGCCCAAGTCATGACTTCCTAGGTCATCCCACAGGCCTCCTCCACCCAGGGCTATCTCGAACAGAGACAACCTGGTGGGCAGAATCATCCTAAGGGAAGTGAGCCAGGTGGCCGTATAGCCTGAGTTGGTGATCACAGATTGTGCAGTAAATGACCTAGGTCCTGTGCCTGTCTCACGGTGCAACCGTTGGATTGACATTTGGTCCCGCCAACTGTACCCCATTATCTGGGGTACAAAAGGCATCAAGGCATGATTCCAAGATGTAGGATAATGTCCAGGTTTCACTACTGTAAAGCAAAACTAGCATTATCAGGGCCTTGAAGACACTTACCTTGGTCCTTCTGCACAGGTACCGGCATCTACAAATACTCTTGTTGAAAGAGTTCATGACCCCTGCTGCCAGGCCAATTCGTCTGCTGACTTCCTGGTCTGACAGCCCAGAGTTATGAACTACACTACCAAGGTATGTAAAGCTCTCAATGACTTCAGTTTCCTCGCCCCAAGCACGTACCGACTGAACAGGTTCTCCTAGCAAGTCCCCAAAGTCCTGGATATTGCTCCAGGAGACCTCTAGACAGAAGGGCTTTGCTTCATTACTAAATGCATCAAGAGCCACCATTAAGGGTTCCAAAGACTCTGATAGAATAGCAACATCATCAGCAAAGTCAAGGTCGGTAACCTTGATATTGCCTAGAGTTCAATATTTACTATGACTTTGAACAGTAGCTCTGCCTAGTATCCAATCCACGCGAGTGTTGAAAAGTCTTGTCTCACTCCTGAACTAACAGGAAAGAAGCTCGACAGGCCCCCACCGCACTTTCAGTACCAGTAAACAGACTTACTATTAGTCCAATAGTCCTTGTTGGGATTCCTCAGCTCAAGATCTCCAAAAGTGATTCCCGATGCAGCGTATCGAACGCCTTCTTGAGGTCGATGTAGGTTGCAAGCAGCCCACGCCCGAACTCACGACGGCCTCTACAATGACTCGAAGCTCAAGGATGTGGTCTATGGTGGACTTACCAGGAGTGAATCCAGATTGTTCCGGCATCTGATGCTTCACAAGGTGGTCTCTGATATGTCTCAGAAGGATGTGGGCGAGAACCTTGCCTGATATACTGAGCAGTGTGATGCCTCGGTGATTGCTTCAGTCCCATCGGTCCCCCTTCCCCTTCCAGAGAGGGATGACCACACCCCTCAACAGGTCAGAGGGGATGGTAACAGACCGCCAGATGGCAGCCAGGACAGCATGCAACCCCCGCGACATGGGTTCACCACCAGCTTTTAACAGTTCAGCTAGGATGCCGCAAATACCTGCTGCTTTACCACTCTTCAGCTTGGAGATCGCTCCCCTAACTCCTGTTAGGAAGGGAGGATCCTCACTGACGGGTGCGTTCGACAACGGAATCTCGGCGCTACCCACATCCAAGTTAACTGTTGGTGGAATTAGAGAATATATGTCAATGGAGATGATTTGAATTTGCAAGATATGTAATATATGGAGATTTCACATCATTATTCCGAGTTGGATATGCTTTATAAAATGATCGAATCCATAATTAAATTTTTAAAGCTATATAATAATGCTAGGAAGAGAGTGCATGTGTAAATAATGCAATAATGGTTCTGGATGCCATGCAACTTATTGATCTACTATTTTATCAGTTGACAACACAATATTCTACAGAAAAGTAAAATTATATTCATAAATCACACGGGAATTGCAAAAGAAATAAATATTTTCTTAACTGGTAAATAATACTCGGAAATCAGCAGACTCTAGGTATCAGTTATGGGTGGTTTTATGACCCCCGGCCTTGATGAACCGCGATCTTTTTACCTTGTAACAAAACAACTAACAAAAACTACTGAGTGAACCGCAGGGGAGGTAGGTGTTGTAATATTACGTCATACGTAAATAGACTTGATTATATTTACGAATGAGAAAAGAAATAACAAAAAAATTACATTTTTTCGCTGCATATCTTTTATGACTTGCTAAGACATTGTGATAACGCCTTCTCCCGCATTTTTTATGATCATACAAGAATGAGATAAAACTTATGGCAGTCTCATAAAATCAAAGGATCACTTAGATTTATGTTGAAAGTAAAAACAATATTAATTGCAAAACATTTCTGTCAACAATAATATTAATAATAATACAATGTGTGTGTGTGTGTGTGTGTGTGTGTGTGTGTGTGTGTGTGTGTGTGTGTGTGTGTGTGTGTGTGTGTGTGTGTGTGTGTGTGTGTGTGTGTATGTGTGTGTGTGTGTGTGTGTGTGTGTGTGTGTGTGTGTGTGTGTGTGTGTGTGTGTGTGTGTGTGTGTGTGTGTGTGTGTGTGTGTGTGTGTGTGTGTGTGTGTGTGTGTGTGTGTGTGTGTATGTGTGTGCGCGAGAGTGTGCGCAAAACACATTACTCGTGTAATAAAAGAAACACCGATAACGGGTAATTTTACTTATTTGTTCTTCTCTAGTATGGGAGTTGATGTTACAACTGAAAACTATTTGGAAATTTGATGCTAATTGGTAAATAATGAATTGAACTGATAATTTAAACAGTAAAAAGAATTATAGGGCTAACAACAATAGGAGATGAAAAATAATGATGTTATCATCATTAACGTTATCATTCTTATCATTCTATGAACATTTCGAAAAGTAATGCTGAATGTAATGAAACATGTTATTTACTCATGGCACATGCTACAGCCACAGAAAATCTGCATTATCTGCCATACGAAATGGATTTCAAAGTATAATTTTCTTGTAAATATCTTTTTCACCATCAACACCTTATTAGTCAGTTTTCGCAACTAAAGTCATACAAAATACACACAAAAAAGGAAAATATAGTTCAAAATAAATTATAAAATAAAATAAATAAATACACGAATATAAAGTAACCATGCCTTATCAAATACTCTTCGAATACTACTTGTTTATTTTGTCTTTAGGCCTACAATGCCCGACTTCACAATACAAAACTGATTGTGCCTGAATAGAGATAAAATGACCT